CGAGAACTTGAGTATCTCGTCAGCCGTTTTGATCAGCGCGGCGATCAACTTCTTATTCTGCTTGACAGTGGGCTGGATGCCTGCAAGCCGGTCCTAAGCAAACGCCAGATGAAAAGATTGCGTTTTGCAGCCCCAAAACATGTTCAGTCAAGCTGTCAGTTCTTATGGATAAAAACAAATGACAGGCAAAGAAAGCAAAGCTGGAACTAATTCAGAGTAAAGCTACTCTCCTGCTGGATGAGCCGCCTGAAGCGCTTCATGTGTAGAGGAGACTGGTCATAGTTACACATAACATCAACCCATGCCTGCGAGCCAGCATGCCTGCCTTTCCATTCTCCGGCTAGCAAATTGGCGCCCATGCAGGCGCCAGGACCCATCAATGCTCCCGGCTCCTTGACCCATCCTGGAAGCCCCTGTCGGTGGGACGCTTGCTTGTGATGTAGCTCAAGTAGCGAAAAAGTATTCCGCCCTAGCAGCACGGACAGCCTGCTTGCGCAAGCCAGTGCCAGCGTCCGCCTGGAGACTGCTGCGCGGCCGGGACCACCTTTGATGGCGCCCTCCCTTTGCTTCAGGTGGAATTGCCAAACTTTCTTCTTGCGGGCCTCAACCAACTTGGCGGTGGCATTGTTGTGGGCCCTTTGGTCAAAGGACTCGGTGAAGAGGTCTGCAAGCCTGCCTGGCCTGTAAGTGTGGCCATCGGAGCTTCTCTTAAAGATGTGAAGAGGCTGCAGAATGTCTTCTTTACAGCTGAATTTCCAGGGGCCATTGGTGTTCTTTGCGCAGAAAGCTTTTGTTTGAGGTGAACCAATTCCTAAGAGGAATCATTATATGTGTGTATATCCAAGCAGACATCAGTGACATCGTGTGGATGCCAAGTTTGCAAAGTTTGATCCCGCTTTGCTACGACAGCGCCGAAAACAGAGAGGCATTGGAAACAGAGCCCTAACAACTAGCTATTTATCAAAACAGCGATTTTTTCTGGTCGTTCAAGCAATCGGTCGCCAGGGTCGGTCACCAGAGAGGTCTAGGGAAGGCAACGGAAAAGAAACCAAACCAACCCCACAGGATCGGTCGTCAGAATCGGTCGCCTCTTCTTCCTCCTCTTCGCCTTCTTCTCCCTCTTCTTCTTCCTCTCCCTCCTCCTCTTCTTCTTCCCCCTCTTCTTCTTCCCCCTCTTCTTCTTCCTCTCCCTCCTCTTCTTCCTCTCCCTCCTCTTCTTCCTCCTCTGAAAACAAACCAAACCAATCACCCCGGATCGATCGCCAGGATCGGTCACTAGTGATGCTATAGTTCCTAGTCGCTGATCCGGAGGGGGGTGTTGGTCACTGATCCGGGAAAGTTGGTCGCTGATCTGAGAAAATTGGTCGCTGATCCGGGAAAATTGGTCGCTGATCCGGGAAAAGTGGTCGCTGACCCAGCAGTCGCTGATCCTGGTCGCTGATCCGGACCCTCAGTCGCTGATCCGACGTTTATCCTAGGTTGGAGGCCATCGCTATTTTTGCTTTTGCTTCCTTTTGTTTCCTTTGACAGCAAGCCTTCAGGATGCTTCACGGATTGTGTTGTTGGTCTCCCTTCTTGCTGCTTCCAGGCCGAGAGACTCTCTGCTGAATCGTGCTGCAAATGTACGTGACCTTCACTGTCTGTGTGTGCAGCTACCTCATCTTGAAGATCTTCTTCAAGCCTTGCCAACTTCAGTGTCTCGCGCTCTGGCTCAAAAATTTTCACGTTCGGGTTCTGGTCGTCGTCGGTGAGCAAATACGTGGTACATGGCGGAGGATAGAATTTAAAGGCACCTTGCAGCAAAAAGCCTGAGACCTGTGGATATGCTGATGCAGCCACAATGATCTTCCAGAGTTTACCTAGGCTCGTCGCCATAGGTCACATGCAAATGTGTTTCTTTCCTTTGCTCGTAGTAACAAGTGCATCGCTAGTAGTAACAAGTGCCTTACTACTAGTAACAAGAAGCTTGTAAATATAATTCTATTTAGGGAGGTAGGCCACTAGAGGTAGGTAGCTAGTAGTAGCTAGGTAGCTAGTAGCTTAAGTAGCTACTAGTATGAACTCAGGATAGCTCACGCTAATGATTTGGTTCCTAGATGTTTAGGGAAACTTAACATGTATGATGTGGTAACTTCAGTAATATATTGAATCGACTGCCACTGCCTGTAAGTAACTAGTCAACTAGCTCCATCATATAATGCTCTATCTTTCTTGGACTGGGTGTTTCGGATATGTGTTTGTCTTTCGCGAACGTTTGAGAATCTTTCACAAGATATGCTGCGCGCACCTCAGAGCCGCTACTATCCACCATACTGTCCACTACCAGGTGCTACACTCTAGACTCAAGCAGTTCCAAGGAACACTGCACAAACACATGTAAAGGTCGTTTAGCTGATGCATTATATATATATATATATTTATATATGATTAAACTCGTCTTTTGCAAATCTTCCGCTGCACTGATGTTTGGCTACTTGAAGCATGTGCAAATTTGAACGTCACATGACATGGAAACTCGATTACTAAGTCCGAGACTGTGGGTTTCGGATTTGACTCAAATATCTTGTAAAGCATGAACACATGATCCAGTAGTCAAGCTGCAACGATGAACCCATTTTGAAGTTCGTCCATGTTCGCAGCTCCAGCAAATGACTCGTTTAATCACTTCTAAATATGAGGTGCCTGATGCAAAAAGCGCTTCATGCGTTTGTTCTTTTCTGAACCTGAAAATACATAAGCTTCAAGCTTGATGTGTTTGATTCTTTAAAAAAGCAGGCCTAATAGCTTCTTGCTACTACTAGTAAGGCACCTGTTACTACTAGCGTGGCACTTGTTATTAGTAGCGATGCCCTTTGCTCCTAGTATAGCGTCCTGGCCTAACATTTGATCAAAAGTCAGCTGAAAACCTTCACCGCAAGAGACTTGTGGCAAATCCAAAACGAAGTCCATGAACTCCAACCTCAGTCACTCCATCGCGGATCTAGGTTTGCCGTATCAAGCAGCTTTTAAAAAAAAGTGTTTCAATTAGTTTCACAAAGACTAAGAAAACGAACTGAGCAAATCTTCACAAGTTGCAACCTCGCGGCATAGCACTGAGCCCCTCTTCTGTCACATAGCCATCGTCGGTCGCACTGATTCGCAACTCTAGTCTTGGACCTAGAGTCTCATCATCGGACTCCAATTGGTTCAACTTCAATGTTGCAAATCCCACGTTCCTTGGTCCAACATGTTTGGAAACAAAAACTTGGAATCAAAGAAAAGGAACCAGTGTGAACCTTTTTTGATACAAATCTCAAAATGTCTAAAAAATCCCATACGGAAATCGCTTGGCCACTGGAAAACCATCATAACCTGTCTTACCATATCGTACCTGTACCTCTCCTCACCGGTGCAAGAAAATCAACAAAAACAAGAATCAACGGCAATGGAAGTTTTTGTGTCTTCGGCGCTGGGACAGTGGTCTTTTTCGCTTCCACGCGCTGCCGCGGGAACTTGAAGCAAGCGAAGCAGCCAGAACAACTGGCCATGGCATGAGGTTTACAGTAAGTGTAACAGTATGTAACAGTAACAATAAGTACCAATAGAGTTGGAAGAATTTGGTTTTCACATGTTGCAAAGAACAAATAAGGAGTTAATTTGCATATGTCAGGTCAACTTCTCCATGCGAAGAAAATGGTATTGAGATGTATTGAGACATGCTGCGATTCATTGTTCGACAATGCTCTTCATGTGGAGGGGAACCAATGAGCCAAATGAGCATTTCTCCCACGAAGAGTGCCAACATGGTCCGGTCGAATGCTCATGGTTCAGGCCGTCGGCGGAGGTTTGGGTTTCCCGATTCTCGGGTCTCAGGTCTCGACTCTCGACTCTGGCTACTAGGAACAAGTGCATCGCTTCTAGTAACAAGTGCCTAACTACTAGTAACAAGAAGCTATTAGAAACAATAAATAGATTTTTTTTGATTCTTATCCCACTTATCCCTGTCACTTTGGACCTTCCTCTGATCGATGAGTTGAAGCAGCAGCAGCAGTAGGAGTAGGAGTAGTAGAAGTGGTAGTGGTAGGAGTAGTAGTAGTAGCAGTAGCAGCAGTAATACTAGTAGTAGTCATTACAGTAAATGTTGTTGTTGTCAGTGGTTGTTTGTTGGTTGTTTGCTTGTTTGTTCGTTGTTGTTTGTTGGTTGGTTGGTTGGTTGTTTGTTCGTTGGTTTGCTTGCTTGTTTGCTTTCTTGCTTGTTTGGTTGGTTGGTTGGTTGGTGCTGTTGTCTGTTTGTTCTTGAAAGCGTGCTAAACTCTAAACCTCTTGTCGGAGGATGATGGGTTTGCCTTTCTTTGAGCTGCACTTGATCATGCCTGGTGCACTTAGGGACAAACAATTGGACCAAACTGTTGATTATTTCTGTTGCAGTTTGTGCTATTCTACATTGCAGTCTTGAACCCTTGGGCTAATATCTCGAATTTTATTCCGAAATCACTTAATGAATCAAGACGTTGAATCTATGACTCCAACCTAGTTTGCACCTTGTCTCAAATACAGTAGTTTAAACACATGAGAATCAGTTCGCTCTTTTCTCAACTCACTCGCTCCCTGTACAGTTCTCAAGCTGCACCTGGCAATTCCGTGCTAAACCCACGTGAGATGTACCTTTGATGCTGACTGTTAGCTCGGTTTCACGTGCCTGAGAATTCGAAAACTGGAGGCCCAAGATCTTCGGCCTGGTATCGTAAAAGGCAATGTGTCAAAGAAGAAAGCCTAATACAATGGCCTCCAACCTAATGGCGATGGCCTCCAACCTAGTAGAGATGGCCTCCAACCTAGTAGCGATGGCCTCCAACCTAATGGCGATGGCCTCCAACCTAGTAGAGATGGCCTCCAACCTATTAGTGATGGCCTCCCACCTAGTAGAGATGGCCTCCACTAAGTTTTAGGCCAAGAAATTACAGTATGTAACAACTTCGACAAAAAGAAACTCTTGCTCACAATGTAACTTCGGCTTGCCTTCACATACGAAGCAAATACCACAGGGAGAAGAGGATAAACAACGTCAGGGCCATCCTGAGAGGCTTGTGAAAGAAGAAAAATATTCCACAAAAAATGATGGTAAAGGCTCCCTGAAAGAGGGCCTTGCCTTCCTTTGTTCATCTCTGTTTTCTTTTACAATTTGCTTCCTTTTGCGTCTCTGTTCGTCAAACAGTCGCAGTTCCTTTTGAAACTCGAAATGCTGAGGCTACTGGCCCTCCATAAACGAGCCATTTGTCACCTGTCTGTCTCCGGTCAATGACATTCACGAGGCTCTGAGAGACCTTTGTTGCAATCTGCAAGAACTCTCCAGATATGCAGTCTTGAGTAGTACTGAAGTGTTTGTCACAAAAGTATTCAAATACTTGTTGCAAGAGTCGGTTGTCCAGCTAAGTAGAGTACACCTATGCTGTTCGCTGCATCCAGCAGCTTGCGGCGGGCATTCTTCAGGACCTTGTTCTGGTTGACCTCAGCAGCACTAATAGTTCGTCACTTCGAGCACTGAGATTGTTAAGTTTCTCCAAACATCTAGGAAGCAAATTACTTACCCCCTGCTACTAGCTTAGCTAGCTACTTGCAGGCCACTTAGTCACAAGTCACGGCCTGCCCTTCATCCCCATATATGCACTGAGCGCTGGACCAAATTGCCCAGAATTGAGCCCGCTTGGTCCAAGACTTCGTCCAGGGCAGAAGCCGAGTCTCGCAAAGACTTGTTCTCCTTTGCCAAGCCCTGAGTCAGAAGTTTTTTGAGGCTGCAATGTTAATGTTAGCTCCTTTTTGTGTTTCTTTGGAAGCCTTTCTTGGCTTTGCCAGGTTGCTCCCTGTGGAGTTTTAGGAAGGTTCCCAGCAGTGTAGTCCCCTCTAAGGAGGGTGCAGTTTCTCAGTGGTGACGAGGGTCATCCCCTACCCTAAGCCCTGCCCTAAGTTGCTACTAGCAATGGGCTCCACCCTACTAGCGATGGCCTCCAACCTACTAGGAAGTGGTGACGAGTTGCTTGGTCGGCTGATTGTTTTTTTGGGTTTGGTTGACGCGGCTTGGCTTGAAACTGGAGGGGGGTGGGGGATGGGTGGGGGGATGGTGCAGCGCCTCACCCCAAGAGCAAACCAAGTGCCAAGCCAACAAAAGCCAACGAAATCCACAAGAACTAAAGAGCAATTAAGAAACAAGCCAACCCGCAACCCAGCGTCAGCCCAAAGTCACACAAGCCACCAAAAGCCAAAGGCCATCAAAAGGCAAATTCATCGAAAAAGAAACAAATGCCAACAGAAGAAGCGATCCAAACCTAGCCATACAAATCCAACCAACTTCATGAGAACCACCAAAAGCAACCAAACCAACCCAAAGCCACCAAAAGCCAAACGAATGCCGCAGAAGCCACCGAAGTCAGAAACTACCAAAAAACACACAAGCAAAAAATACACAGAAGCCACACAAGCCATAGAATCCACAGAAGCCACCGAAGCCAAAAGCCAACTCCACAAAAGCCACAAAGCCACAGGTCGAACAAAAACAAGTGAAAAAATGAATTAGAAACAAGTGCCTTACTAAACTAGTAGTAACAAGTGCCTTACTAGTAGTAACAAAAAGCTATTAGAAACAAGAAGCTTGTACAAAAAGACCAGACTTGGCCTTGAACAAACAAGAGACCAAGTGGAAGAGACTTGTCTTTTTCAGAAGTCCCTCCAGACATTCGGCTGGAATGCTTCCAACCCGGCTGTTAACAAGCCTGCATCTGGTCATCTGGCCCATCTCTCTTCTTTCGATCTCCCAAGAGCTTCTTTCGATTCTCTTCCTCCTTCTTCACCTGATTCTATCGCACAAGCGATCACAAAAAGCACCTTGCTACCATTCCAAAGAGTTGGGTATCCGGCCCGGTAGAAAGTCCCAAGCTGCTTGTCTACAGCGCTTTGAATCATTGACCTACATCCGTCGCTGAAACACCAAAGGACACTTTACATCATGTTACGCATGTGGATCACTTTACGGGCAGCGGCAATGCGTAGCAGTGCACAGAAGTCCAAGGATGTCACACATCCTCCTCCAAGCGGTTCATCTTCCGCTCCCACGACATTCTGCCTTTTTCGGGCATGGCCTCAACCTGAGAAAGTTGAAAGAGAGAGAGAGAGAGAGATCTTCGAAAGAAAGACGAGAACGAGCGATTCATAAAGCCTAGGTTAAGTAAGCTAATAAAGTAAAGCACAAACAAAGACTAAAGATAAAGAAATAGAGGAAGTTACTGAGTAGGTTAAGTAAGACGAGAATGACAGGCCAGTAATTTCCAGCCTTCTCATTCCCTCTCGTTTGTCATCCAAGACCAAAGGCGGCCATATCAGCAATAAACCAAAATTGTTGATTAAATTGCAGTGTACAACTTTTCTCTTTGCTGTAGGCCTTTTTGTGGTCTTGAAGAGTACCTAATACCTTCAGAGTTTCACAATGTTATACCCATCGGATTGTGAAGCAGACCTCCTCTCTGATCCTTTCAGACGTATTCGTCAGATCTGCAAACAGGGCTGCCAAGCCTCGTGCATGTGAGGTGAAAGAATCAATGACAAACTCAAACTGTGCATCCCAACCATCTCAGTTTGTCTGTTTCTGTATGCTCTCTCCGTGCAAAACGATCTCATATTGTTTTTGAGGAGGTTGCGCTGCTGCATGGCCACATCAGAGCCCTGTTGCCCCTCCAAATGGAAACGAATCATCTCGGCATCTGCATGACATAATATACGGCTGTCCTTTGGAGCAGCCATGGCTTCCAACGCAGAGTCCACGTCCCTTTTCAGCCTTAGAAACTGTTGCTTTTTCCGGTTTATACTCAACAAAGCTGAACGTGAAACACCCGAGGAATCCTTGAGGCATGAATTCTTTGTTCTTCACCTTTACAACATTCAGTCACCTTAGTGGCAGACCCATCGGCTTTGCGAAACAAAGGACCCAAATCAGCCTTGCAGGTAACTTGGCAACTTGCACGTCTCAAAATGCAAACAGTATCCTTCACAGACTCCAAGAGAAAAACCGCTATAGACATGGACAAAACATGCAAATCAATCATGCCCGAAGCTCCATGGCTGGCAAAACCTTCCAAATCCCGCGGATGCTAGAAGCTGAGATGTCTTGAAACGTTGTTTTGCTGGCAAGTCTTCTTGACATCGGAAACAACAACTCGGTTCAGCTTGTTGTGCCCCAACTGAATTGGTACTCAAGACTCAAAACAAAACGTAGCTTGTCAAATTGAAGGCACTGTCTTGAGCCAAGTGCACGCGATTTGTCTGTCCTATTTACCCTCCAGACTTTGACCACCTCAGATGCCGCAGCCTGAATTCAGTTATAGTTTGTCCTGAGTCTCCGCATCCGGCAGAAGTACGGTATGCATGGCGGCAAGTACGTCTCCTAACCTTCAGGCATCTCGTTACCGGTGAACCGGTTCGACCGGCAGTACTTCATTCATGTCCAAGACAAGTTTCACCCTACTCGGCCATGAAAAACCTGATATGCAAAACAGTCAAACTGTACGATCTCAGCCTTCCACGACTTTCTCTTTCAACTTTTGAAACGAAACGATGACGATTTCCCAGCTCAGGTGCTGTGGAAGAAACGAACATGAAGCATTCTTTGATGCAGAATCATCAGCTTTTGCTGAGACACAGTTGCACGATCCATCATGTTTCATCAGTCCCGCCTGCCGTGTCAACATGTCAGAAATCAAGTTTTCCATGGTAAAGATGGCCGAGGACAATTCATACCGTGGTTGCTTTGAACTCGTGTTGTGTGATGATTGTGCGCATCCAAACGGATTCGATTGTCCTGTGTTTTCCGAACATTCAAAGTCAAGCTACTAGGAGCAAAGGGCATCGCTACTAGGAGCAAGGACGCTACTAGGGGCTCCTTGCCTTGCTACTAGTAACAAGAAGCTACTAGTAACAAAAGGTTTGACAATCAATGCCAGAGGACTTGTCACGCTGTGGCGAGCGTGTCGGTGACTCCAAAGGTGTCCGCGGTGAGCGGGGCGTGCCACCGGGCAAACTTGAGGAATTGAGCTCCGAGACCTCACAAACTTGAGGAGCAGCTGAGAAAAAAACGGAGAGAACACTGAAAAAAACAGCATTCCAATATTCCAACCTACTAGCGATGGAACAAATAGTAAGGAATCACAAATGGCACGCACTAACGCAGAAACGGTGCGAAGAAAAAAAAGCGGCGCGATATGGCGCGATGCCTTGCTGTCGAGTTTAAAAGCAAATGCGAATTCAGGGCAGCTAAATCCAAGATTGCAGGCTTTACATGCCTGCCGCCACCGGTGGCAAATCATTGAACCAAGAGCTCAACGTGGCTTACACCAGCAAAACAATGACAAGAGCGGCTGCAATGAAGAAGCCCCCAAGCTTGCACAGCTGGGTACTGACTCCAACGATGGTGCACAGCTGAGATGGAAGGAAATGCTCGTCGTATCGCTGGCTGCACTTGCACCCAGCCAATTCAAAGTCTATGAGCGTCAAATCCGTAGATGCCCATGATCTATCAGGCCCGCTGCAAGACAGGCTATTTGCGATCTCACTATTTGCTACGTTCTGTTCCGAACGCCGTCTTTGCCACATAAGCCTTGAATCTTCTAGAGAGCGTGAGTGCAAGGCTAGCAAAGGAGAAGTATACTCATTAGCAACACTTCCCACGTGATCGCGCACGCAACGTGGCTAGCATTGGCTGTTTCGTGAGCCGCAGCCCTGCGATGCTGGTCTACTGGAGGGAAAGCTTGGACTGTCTTCAAGAGACTGCTGCAGTACACAAGTTGCATGAATAGCAGATCTGCTCGCATACCCTTTGGTAACAAGTGCAGCGTTCTTCCCTCTTTGAGTGCCAAATATTCAGGCACAACTGCCTGGTCGCTCCTGACTTCTGCAAACTCTGCGACCATGCATTCATTTGCGCGCTCCCGATTTCTTTGGCGCAAACACACTGCTTCTTAGCCACCCACATCAACATGATTACACTGTGGCCTCCAGCTTGCAAGATTGCTGCCAAGGCTTCGCTTCATTCATGATGCTTCATACTCCACAAGCATTTGACCGAGAACAGGCTGTTTGAATGGGTGCGGCCACCGAACTTGAAGGCACGTCCGAAAGCAAATCCAGAAGCTTGTGTTAGCCGCTGTTAGCCATGATGTCTCGCTGAAAAGGGATTCGATAATTCAATCTGCGTTCTTGTTCCTAGTAGTAAGGCCAAGAGCCCCGAGTAGCTTCCTTACTCCTAGTAGCGATGCCCTTTGCTCCTAGTAGCGTTCTTGTTCCTAGTGAGTTTTCCAATCGGAATGGTAGGTCCTGTGGGGTTCATGTTCTCCACACACTCGTTGATGCTAGCGTTTCGGGCATGGCATGCACCATAGATTTATAGGAAGAGTTCTTATAGTTGAAAGTCGCGGTCATGCTGTTTTAGCATTCCAAATCTGTGGTCCTTTGCACGACAAAGCAAGGTCGCCTTGAAGTACTCCCCACGCGAGAGAAACTGGTTGTGCAACCACCACGCAGTGCCAATCTGAAGAAGCATAAGACTCGTATTCAATATTGGAGGTCGCCAGTACCTAAGAGGCAAGGGGCATGCAATGGCAATAGGCGTTGGTGCACGGTGCAACAGACATGGAGCGCACGGTGCAAATACCGAAACCAGCATCACCAAAAACGGTGGCCCAATGAAATACAAAGCGCCTCATTCGAAGCAGGCGTAAAAAGTGCAAACTGCACTCCAAATCCTCTGAGTTGCGCGCCCACGAAAGCAAACATGGAAAGCAGCCCGCGAATCCTTGTATGGGTCAATCCAAAATACAAGGCCAACTGCTGCTTATTAGAGAGCACTCTGCTGCGGTGCCTGTAAGGTGCGCCAGTCATGGTGGACTTCAAGCACCACAGAAACACGGCCTGGGAGAATGAGCTCAGCCTGTTGCAGAACTTCAAAATCTTCTGTGTTTTTACTTCCCTTGGGATGGTACAAAGGAGGCTAGTCGCAAGGCCTGGCAAAGGAAAACCGATCTGACACCTACTGTGACATATGTCACACTGCAACTGTCGATTGGAAGGAGATTTACGTATCCCTCAACATGCCGGGCAGAACAAGAAGTGTCTTCCCGGCGAGACCCTCATAGTCATGAAACTTGTCAGCGGAGTCCTGGGAGCTCGTCAATCCCCTTTCGGAAGCATGCTTGGCTTGTTTATCGCGTTTTCCGAGCACCTCAGCTTTGATAAGCAGGACCAAAATGATGTGCACCACAGCGCTTATTCCAAAAGTCAGCAGCACCTTACAAGCTTTGAATGCCTTGCGTTTTGTTTTCAGAACGTGTTCCCCCGAAGAAAAAATCGCTTTCAATTCGTCTTCATCCCACTAGTAGCTACTAGCCTTGCTACTAGCCTTCACGGCAAACCTGTTTTTTCCTCCACTGCCTTTAGAAAGAAAGAGCTACGGCTGTGTATGGCTCAAATTACCCACGTTTAGCAAGCGTCGTACTATGTCCGAGAGACGGTTGCTGGATCCACATCCACTGGAATCAAGGTGTAGCCGTACCTTTGAGACTTCAGTTGACTTCCATTCTGATACTCTCTTAAAAAAAAAACTATAGATATATATATATACTGTATCTTTTTGAGTTACTAATAGCAATGGCCTCCAACCTAATGTGCTCTCTTTTTCTCTTCCTTTTGGAGGTCTTTGAGACTTGAAAGCCTTGGCGTCTTTGAAACGAAAGCAGTGACACTGACAAATCTCCAAGGCACCCAATGAGAAGGAGGAGTGCAGACTGCACAAGCTGAGACAAAATAAACCTCAACTCATTGCGTTAAGCAAAACAACAAGCTATCACAAGCTGTCGTCCTCTAAGGCTAGCACGAGATTTCCGCCAGGATCTCAAATGGTCTCACTCCAGTCCCATTATAGCTATACCTCTGATCGAAACGGTGGGAACCTCTGATCCAAACTGGCATCACCCCGGCACCTCCACAAGTGCAAAGCATGCAGCGACCTTAGGAAAATGTGACCAAAGCGACCAAGCAAAACAAAAGAGCAAAAAAAAAAACATACAAAGATTCGAAGAAGAACGATTTGGCAAATGGTTTGATTTCCGTCCATTGGGCACTGGGCTGCGCCAAAAGCTGCATAGCAACCACGACAACCAATGCCCAGATCACCTGCAGAACTAGCTATGTCTTCCAATGAATTGGTTTCATGCAACAGTGAAAATCATGGACATTTGTCTACCTAAATCTGAGAACCTGAGCAAGTAAGAAGCCAGAAAGAATTCTGTGGAGTCTTGACATGCTGTTTCAAGTTGGCGCAGGCACAGGAGGCATCTCCAGAAGTTTCGTGGAGGGATCGTCTTTTACATCCGACGCAAAGTGATTGTCAAAGAATTCTGAGCTTTCATTGCATGGAATCAGGCTTAATGACAAACCAACATCAGGAGCTTCGTAGGAAGGTTCAATATTCTCGGAAAATCTGCAAGCTCTCGTGCATGTTCTGGGTGGTCAACTAAACCAGCAACCATTACAACTGCAACTGTGAAATTCGTTGAAATGCCTGTCAGGATTTCCACTACTGGACCTTAATACATTCTGAAGAGCTTCTCTCAATTCCATGGTGGAGAAAGGTAGAGTTGCGAAGTATGACCTTCAATGCAAGAAGTTAATATGGGGATGGTGTTTGCACGTGCTTCTTTGTGCGAAACCCATGCAAGGCATAAGGCATATTTCTCACAACCTCAACAACCTGAACATTGAGAGCCAAAGGTCACCTACTTGTGGCAAAGAAGAATAACTTCGGCCTTGCACGATGCCAAGATCTTGTCAAAGGCTTTCAAGGTTGCTTGCTTGGACGTGAGCTCTTTGGCGTATCCACAAAGGGTGAGGTGTCTTTCCATCGCTATTGGGTTGGAGGCCATCGCTACTACTATTAAGAAGCTACTAGTAGCAAGAAGCTACTAGGAAAACAGCTGAAGCACTGTGGTGCTTGAACAGTTCAGAGGTCTTGTGAACTGAGGTCTTCCATTTCCGCTCTCCTTGTGGGTTCACAGAACAAAGTTCAGTTACGGTTTGTCTTTGTGAAATCTCAGAGCATCCATTCCGAAGAAATCTAATCTTCTGGCGCCCTGTAGATGTGTAGTCAAGCAAAGACATAGTTGAAAATACGCACAAACAATGGATTTTTTGTTCTAGTACGACTACCGCTTGAATTAATTTGAACCAGTCTGCATTCAAGTGAACCCTCCCGTTCTGTAGGAATCGAAACCTCCAAACCAGTACTAGGGTCAAGCAAACTTGTCTTTTAACCGCTGACTGTTCAGGGTATGCTCAAACTTTAAAGTCTTCTTGAAATTAAGTTCGCGCACCATGTGCAGTCTGCCCACGCTGGTCATTTCAGCCAAACACCTGTGCGGAGAAGGGCAAAATAGAATCCCACCACATTCACAAATCCAAGCTCAGTCACACAGCACGTAACTCAATATTGTTTTGGACTTGGAACCTGCGATAATCTGTGAATTGCATCCTGACCAAAGCTTTGTCCAACCCAGAGCCCTGTTCGACAGGCTGCAAAGCTGTCAAAACAAACAAACAAACAATCCTCACCCAAAGTGTTCCGCCTCTTGGCAAAGAGACCCGAAAAGGCCACAAAGCAAACAAGAGAAAGCACATTCGAAGGAAGTGTCCTCAGAGCAACGAAACACGTGTCACAATGAGATTAAAACATCTGTGGTCCCGGGCCATCTTGTTTCCACTGTGAAGTGAGAACCACCCTGGACGTCCCAGTTTGTGCGCGAAAAGATTATGGTGATTTCGCCATGGAAGCAAAAAAAGCTAGCATGGGCTACCATCGCTATTAGATTGGAAGCCATGGCTATTAGGTTGCAGGCCATCACTATTAGGTTGGAGGCCATCGCTATTAGGTTGGAGGCCATCGCTACTAGGTTGGAGGCCATCGCTATTGGGTTAGAGGCCATCGCTACTAGGTTGGAGGCCATCGCTATTAGGTTAGAGGCCATTGCCATAAGCTGGAACACTACCTGTGAACAGTAGTGTTGCAGTTTATTGCACCTCATTCAAGTGGGTCATCTCGTACTCAAACTTGCGGCCTCACTCTGTTGCAACATGCTGAAGGAAGGAATCTCGAGCGTTCGCAGGGCTGTGACTGTTCTCTGTCTTCTTGGCACAATCGAGGACTGCAAAGTACCAAATATGTGACCTGGCGGTCCACATCTAGAAAACCAAGTCCACTAAGCGACCCCGTGATACATGGAGACACAATATGGCGCTCCTGCCTCACGTTGTTTCGTACAGTTCTTCTGAGGGTTTCGCTCCACCTTGTGAGGGTGGAAATATGTGGAAACAGTGCAAACATGTTCAGACATATACCTACTACCTACAGAGCAACCTACTAGCGATGGCCTCCAACCTAGAACTGTTAGGGGGTTCTAGAGGTATTGCAGAGACCTGAGCAAGAACTGTTGCTCTGAAAATGTCGTCATAAACATGCGACCGAGTGAGAGTGAAGTCCAAAACCTGCCAAGACCTGTAGTGACCAGCACAGGCCTATCATTATAATTATCAGCATCATCATCGTCGTCATCACCTCTGCAAATAGTTACTAATGCTAGAGGTCTTTACATAGACGGATGTGGATCTGGATGCCATGCTTTGTCCTACATCATAGATCCACACCGCGTACATCTCCCTTCTGCCACCTGGTCTAGCTTGTTTGAAATGCACTAAGGCTCTGGACCGCCCATCCAATGGAACGCTTACGCTCATGGACGAGCGAGACTTCTTCTTCCGCTGGCAAGGGTCCTACACCACACGTTTGGAGCAGTTAAAGGTGTCCCTTCCAAACAAGTTGGAGATGGAGATCCTTATCCATTGTTGATCAACTCTGTCGCGCGCCCAACACTTTTTCTTATAAGCCATTGGTCTGCTCCTCTATGCTCATCACCTCATTCCAATCCTGCCATGTAGGATGAAGAAAATTGCAAACTAGGCTATCCTGAAGGGAACAAGTTACAAGCGCACGTCAAAATGCACAACAGGCTGGCCCAACAACGGGGGGTTCATTTGAGGCAAGACGCACAGCTTGCTATGTGAGAGATCCACACTGGCGAGCAGAAAACTGGAGGGAACAAGAACACGCGATAAGTTTCCGAAAAAAGTTGGAACGTTTGATGAATGCGTTGCACTAGGAATGAAGAGGTGCTCCAAGTGGAATGCCCAATGTTTCTATTGCAAAATCGCCTCATCCAAGTACGTCTCCAGAAAAAGTGTCACATTTTGGTTGAACCTGAAAGCACGACAAACCCGAAGACAAAGAAGCATGAAAATCACCTGACCTACTCAATTGAATAGTGCAGTGCCCAGCCTGCCATTGCCTGCCAGCTTTGCCTCGTCTGAAACACGAAGCCTCAAACTGTAGTTGCCGGTACCGGTGCTGTAGCCAAACTTTGAGGTGTAGCCCCACCTGGGCAATGCAGGAGAGTCGATTCTGTTAAGTTGGAGGCAGGCTATTTGTCTGCACTGTTTTGCCATGCCTTGCCTCAAGTGTTCCCCAAGAGTGATTGTGGAGGCCTAGTCATGCATGGCATCGGCATAGGGATCAAAAACGGCGAACGAATGGTTGCAAAGTCCAAGTGTTAGCTCCATCCACCCACGAACACATCAGGTGTTTGCAAAAGCGCGAGGGACAATGCAAAGGTGCCAGTGCCAAGTAGAAAGGTGTTGCATCTCAGGGCTGTGCCTGAAATTTTGCTTCGCCAAGAAACAGCAGTAGCACCTCGAGACATGGGCGTAGTGACTTTGTTTGATATGGCAAGGGTCCTACAACACATTTGGAGCTATGGCTACTAATAGCGATGGCCTCCAACCTACTAGTGATGGCCTCCTGCTGAGATTCAAAGCACACACTGTCATGTTTGCACCCCGTAAGATTCATGCGCTCAGCCATCCTGCGATTGTGGCATGGATGAACATTCTTTTTCTTGGAGAATTGGCATTGCGGCAATACATGGCAATACCATGTTCCTGATTCCCCTCCAAAAAGAAGAGCCAAATCATTTAGGTTCAGGCTTCCTTGAAGAAACCTGAGCCCTTCTGCGTTCGATCAGTAGTGGAGACGAATTCAAATTTGTGGTGTGTGCAGTGCCAGTACTTCTTACTTAGACACTTCTTCGTTCTTATGTTTCCTTTTGGCCGGTGTTGTGGTGATTCGGGCTATAAAGACTCCGACAAAGGTTTGCTTTTCTGCCCCCTTAAAGGCTTTGCCTCTCCGCGTTTTGTTGGCATATGGCAGGCTATATCGCATGGGCGGCATGAGGACGAAGTGTCTGATGCCGAAGCTGTTCAGCACCCAACCAGAAGTACTGGACAGGACAAGGCTTGGGCACACATCGAAAAGCAGCGGCCCTAACTCCCTCTTGGTACTGGTTCAGCCTCTGTTCATTCAGGTGGTGAAGCTCTGTGAAATGAGGGCCACAGCTTGTCAAGGCTGCAGGTCTGTGGAACCTTGCTGACACCGTCTTCAGGCAAGGCAACCAGCCAAAAAAAACAACAGAACAGGCTAGAATTTCTGAGGGAAGGCAAAATACTATAAAGAATTGAGGAGGAATAAACAGTTAAAGTATGTGGAAGTAAAAGGTTAAGGCGGGAAGGTGACGAGGAACAGGAAGCTCGGAAGCACGGATAAGGCCTTTGGTGGCTCCTTCAAAGGAAGGGAACCCATAGGGAGCTCCGATTTGTCTTATTAAATGGGTCCAAGCACGGCCTTTGATTTCGACCGAAATGTTCAAGAGTTGAATGTGCAAAATCGCTCAAGCGAAGCTAGCCTGATGATGTGAGCGGGCATCGACTACCACTCAAAAAGAGCCGAATTGACAGTTTATTGAGACTGTCATGGCAATTTTTTTAAGATCGCTGTTCGCTGCCACTAGCACTTGACAACAGAGCCTCTTGCCGACTGGAATCCACGGTTGCAATGGGTCAAAGGTGTGGGCAAGCAAAAGGTGCAAGAGTGACAAGCCGGCGGTTTTTCAAGAATGCCTAGCCATGAAAGTGACATCCAATGCCCAATGCATCTTTACACGACCGAATCTGGAGAGGTCTTGAAGACATGCATCCTCAGATAAATTTGAAGTCGGGGGTGCTTATAAGGCACCCTCAAATGAACAAACACTCTCACAAAAGCACAGTCAAGATAGAGGTTCTGATCCCGCCAAGATGCTCGAATACCTACATCTTGTAGACTCTGCGGCAATGCCCCTTTCATGCACCCAATGAGTTTTGAGATAGTTGAGGGGTGACCATGCAAGCTGGCTGAGTGCCAACTTAGCAGAGGTACAAATATATATATATACATACATACATGATAGAGCGTCCTTTAGGTATTATTTCGTTACTCTATCAATGACAACTATTTTAAAACAATTGCAATTTTATTTGAACATTTAACTATTCAATTAGTCAATTCAAATTTCCAGAAATCCAATTAAATAGGTAAATATCGAATTGGTACAGTACAGGACATCCAGTTAAAAATAGAATAACTAAATATATAATATGTTAGCTATTTAATTGGAAAAGCAAGGGAATCCAGTTAAGAAAACAAACTAAATATGTAGTTATTTAGGTAATTGAGTTGAACAGTAAAGGAAATCAAATTAAATAACTAAAGAATTAAACATTCAATTACATAATTAGTTAGTCGGTTGGTTTTAAATAATCGAATTGTTTAAATACCGGTAAGTCTTCTATTTACTTTCTTTTTTCTTCGTAATAAGCCTTTTACTTTTTAAATCCAATTCAAAAACTAAATAGTTGGCTACTTAATTTGCAGTTATTTAATTGGAAAAGTACATATTTGACTATTTAGTTATTTAGTTGGATCAGTAAAGGAAATCCAGTTAGACAATTAAACAATTAAACTACTTAGTTATTGTAACGTTTAACTGTTTTAACTGCTTTAGTTATGTTAATACCGGTAAGTCTTCTATTCCCTTTCTTTATGTCTTCTTCGTATGTAGTTTTCAAGATTAAATAAATATAGTAGAATATTAAATTGCTAAATAGCTAACTGTTTCATTGGAACAGAAAAGGAAATTCAATTAAATAATTAACGCAATTATATGTAATTATATATGTTTTACATGAATATCTAATTAATTAGAAAAGAAAATGAAATCAAAACCTTCAAGCTCAAACCGCGATCAACTCCAATGACCCCAGCTTTTTTCAAAAGCTTTGGGCTGCGGCTGCACTTCAAAAGTCTTGCGCAAGCCTTCCAACAGGCATAGCGCGCCACCACACACTTTACGCGCTCCGTTAAGGGAAAAAGCGACAAAAAGCGAAACAAATGCGAAAATATAGCAAAAAAATGCGGAAAAACAGGCTAAAACAATGTGAAAAAAAAGCGACAAACACGCACAGCTACATGTTTTTGCTTGTTTGTTTGCTTTACATCTTTTTGCTTTTGTTTTGTTTTATTTAGTTATTTTGGCTCCTTGTATCTATGGCTAGCGCGCCCGACAAAAAAAATATATATATATATATACCAGGACCCTCCAACAGGTCTCCTCTGGAGGCTTTTGCAGGCTTAAAAGTCGCAGGTGGTGACCTGCTGGAGGGTGCTGGTATATGTATACTACGTTATTTTCTTCAGCATTCATTTGTACAACTTGTTGTGACTCCGAACTTTTACATTGACATCAATCAACGACACATGTAGAGGGATTAGGTATCAAATAAGTCATTGCCCCTTGTTCATCCTTATGCCGTATACTGCTTTGTAACTACTGCCCAAAAAGACTCAACTTGTTTGACAAGGCCATTATATGCTGCTGCCAAAACAAGAAGCTACTAGGAACAAGGGCATTGCTACTAGGAGCAGGGACGCTTACTAGGGGCTCCTGGCCTTACTACTAGGAACAAGGGCATCGCTACTAGGAGCAGGGACGCTTACTAGGGGCTCCTGGCC